CCTGAGGGCAAGCAGTCCTCCAAATTGTTGGGATTATAGGCATGATCCCCTGTGCCCAGCAAAAGTGCTTTTTTAAAAAAAGAATAATGGTTTGTATCCTGATCCTCAAGACCATTGTAGGGCTCCCAAGTTTTTTGTTCTGTAAATAGATAGGGCACCAAATTCCATAGCTTTCTGTTACTAATTTGATTGTATGGGGTGCATTTTCAAGGGAATTGACTGGATTATATAGTCTTTTGTGAAAGAATTGTCTTTATAGGCTGACTCAGTTTCTACCAGGGAAATAAAACTAATTTTAATTCAGGTCACTTATTTAGAAAGCAAGTAAAGAAAAACCCATCAATTGAAATTAGTTTAACACATTATCTTGATATTGCTTGTACCTTTTTCATGCTTGCTAAATGAATTACTCATTTTTATTATATTGACAGTAGAGCTAAATAAATTATTTCAAGAGCCTGGTAAGTAGCATAGGTCTAGTTTAGGAAGAGCTGGAATGCCCAGGAATAGTAGGGCTCTGGCAATCATCACGTTCTTCCTTGGATTATTATTTGTGTTTTTTTTCTCTCTTATACTCTAAGCCAGTGGTTCTTGATCTTTAGTCCCATGACCCTTTTACTCTCATTAAAATTATTGAGGACTCCCAATATAATAGCTTTTATTTCTGCAAGTTATAACTTTTGATACTCTGTTAGAAATTAAAACAGAAAATTTAAAAATATTTCTTAATTTCAAAAATAACCTTGTACATGTTAAAAAGTTAATATTTTAATTATGTTAATATTTTATAAAAAATAACTTTTTTAAAACAAAAAACAATTTAGTGAGAAACATGATATTTTACAGTTTTTGCAAATCTATTGAATGCCTGGCTTGAGAGAAGACAGCTGAAGTCTCATCTGCTTTTGTACTCAGTCTGCTGTAGTATGTTGCTTTGGTTAAAGTATAAAAAGAAGATCTGGTCTCATACCAAATATGTGGTTGAAAGAGTATTTTAAGAGCCTTTTCAGATAATTGTGGATATTCTTTGGTATATTAAAACTCAGCAGTGGTAGTTTCTTAAAGATGAGTTGCAATGTGAAATCTGAAATTATAACTGTACTCTTACATTAAAGCCTATTGGTTTGTCATGCTCTATGAATGGATCTTTTAACCCATCTGTAATTTTGTAACATCATCTATTGGTGATTTTGAGAATATTAATTCATCAAGTTTATGGAGATCTTCCAAATGTTGATACAAAAGTCACTTTCTTTATCATCACCACTAATCTCATCAGAAGAGGCTTTTAAGTAATGGAAAACTTTCAGGCTCACTGTAGCAGATACAAGTTTTCCAAAATTCTACTTATCACTTCAAATATCAAATTTCATCATTGGCAACAAATATTGTCAGTTATTTCCACTGAAGTAATAGGCCCACTTTTAAATTTTGAGAAAATGTCTGTCAAATACCAACGTCTGAAGAACAATATAGTCAATATAGTTTGTCAGCCACTCTTTTAAGTAAAAATGGTATTCCTGCTGAAAAAAGCAGCTAATTCAGCTTGCAACATAAAACAAGGCACACACACTTTTTTGTTGTTGTTGTTTTTGTTTTTTGTTAATGAGACGAAGTATCACCTTTGTCACCCAGGCTGCAATGCAGTGGTGTGATCACAGCTCGTTGCAACCTCCACCTCCTGGGTTCAAATGATTCTGCTGCCTCAGCCTCCTGAGTAGCTGGGATTACAGGCTCCCGCCACCATGCCCAGCTAATTTTTGTATTTTTAGTAGAGACGAGGTTTCACCATGTTGGCCAGGCTGGTCTCGAACTCCTGACCTCAGGTGATCTGCCTGCCTCAGCCTCCCAAAGTGCTGGGATTACAGGGGTGAGCCACCGCACCCAGCCCATACACATGCTTTTTGAAACAGCCATTACACTTCTGAATGCAACAGGAGTACTTTATGCATACTTTCCATTTGTTACACAGAAGAGTTAAAAAGACATGAACTTTGGGGAGAAGAGTCAATAAAATTAATATTCACTCTCATCAAGCACATTCTTAAATAAAATGGACATTTTTTTCTCCTTTTTACCATGAGCACATGAAGGCAAAGGATATAATGGCTATAGTATAGTTTGTGATGTTACCTTAAATTGTGCTAAGTGTCAGTAGGTTTACCCCACCATTGCTTTTGCGTCATAAGTGTAAATATAAATGCATTGAAAAAAGGCAAATAGCATTTTAGTTATTATGAAAATAATTTTGACCTCACTGATCACTTGATGAGTCTCAAGGACCCCCCCAGACTCCCATGGGTTACTTTGAGAACTACTGTTAAGCTATTTGAGGGTCAAACTAATCATCCTAATATCCCCTTTCAGTTCCTGGTCCAGAACTTTACACAGAAAAGGTGCACAAAGGATATTTGTTTAATGAATGTGGTATGCTGACATTTAAACAGGACAAAACTTGGTGAGTAAAATTAATGTAGGCAGTCTCCCATCCATCCAGGCCGTCTTGATCAGGCAGCTTTTCCATAGACATTTGTGAGACTAGAGTGACAAATGAAATGTATATGATATATACTTGGTAAATGCAAATGATGAAATAAAAGAACAAACCATAAGGCGATAGTACTTGCAGAGCTAACAGTCTGAGCCTTGCCTGGCTCCTATTAATGAGCCCTCTATTTTTTGTGTCTTTAAATTTGTAATGGTCTCTTAGAGGATCCTCAACTAGGATGGATCTGATCTGAAAAGCAAACATCCAATTTAAATTTCAATAGGTCTCTGCTTGTGCTTGATCTAGTAATGTCTTTTCAAAAGGGATTATAGAAGGTGACTGTTAAATCATTTTGATTTCTCATAGTGAGTTAAGAAATACATTTTGTTCCTCTTCTGCCTTCTAAATAATATGTTGGGCTTCTTTCTGTTTTGTTGTTGTGAGACGTCCGAGGAAACCTTTGTTTTCTATAAATCTTATATTCTTTGGATTTGAAGAGGTGGTTTTCTGAATAAGAAAGAGTCTGACTACACTGGGTAAATTGTCAGATTATTTTGTCCTCACAGAAATTAAAGTGTAAAATTGGGTGAAGGCATTGCTTTAAAACAGAGTATTTTTATTCTTTTAAAGAAGGTAGATTAATGAAAAGATTGATCAGTTCAAATACTTGGAATATTTAAACCAGTTTTATATTAACCTAAAAAATTATTTTTTAGACATTTTGAACTTTGACCTCCTTTTTTTCCTAAATTGATTTTAAATCAGTATCAAATGCTGAGGACCAATAAATGAAACACTCATATGTTGTTTTGAGCAAAATTTTTTATATTATGAAAATATTATAACTTTGAAGTTGATACTTAAAATACTTGAGCTGAAGTTTCTGCCTTTATGTGGGACATTTTCATGAGCTTTCTCATATCAGTTTGCTTACTTGCTTTTCATAAAGTTGAGTGAGACTATAACAAGAGACCCAGGGACATTTTAACATCTTTGATTATTTTTGAATCTCAGGAACTTGACTTAAAAAAAATTTTTGTTGGCCGGGCGCGGTGGCTCAAGCCTGTAATCCCAGCACTTTGGGAGGCCGAGGCGGGTGGATCACGAGGTCAAGAGATCGAGACCATCCTGGTCAACATGGTGAAACCCCGTCTCTACTAAAACTACAAAACATTAGCTGGGCATGGTGGCGCGTGCCTGTAATCCCAGCTA